TTTACACTCAGTGGTAACACTTCCTTGCCTACCTTGTGCAAGCTCCTAGGTTCAACCAGCAATACACACACAACACACACAATTAAATGCTTCCAGATTGTAACCCTCCCCCCACACTGTCCTGATTCCATTTCCATAGCAGTGTACATTTGCTATAACTTGGCTAAAAACCAAACTTTATTGGACTTTAACCATTTGTCACTCATAGAAACATGGACATGCTGTCATGTTTTGCATTTTTCTAAGTAGTCATGAAGCTGAACACTTTTTCCAGGTAATTTTGACCATTCCTACTTTTCTGTTTGTTTGTTGTGTGAGACAGGTTCTCCTTATGTAGTCCTGGCTAGCCTGGAACTCAGAGAGACCTGCAGCCTGCCTCTACCTCTCCTAAGCACCAGGATGCAAGGTATGTTTGACCACATCCAGCACCATTCTTATTTTTAGTATATGAAGTAATTGTTCACATTCTTTGCCCATTTTTCTGTTCATTTTGTTTTTTGATAAAACTGTAAAATTACGATCTCCTTGCATAATACATAAGCACTTTTTCTGTCAGATTGCAAATAATTTCTCCTCCTATCCATTTGTCTTTGGCTCGGTTTGCAGTGTTTTTTTCTGCTACTGCTCTTGTCTTCATTATCTTCATTTCACCATATAAAAGTTTTAAATGTTTTACGTAAACTCATTTATCAGCATTTTCCTTTTCGGCTTCTGAATTTGCTTGTGTTTTAAGCGTTAGTTGTCTTGTTGTTGGGTTTCTTTGCAGTATAGTTTGTGCACAGTTCTCCAGGGCCCATACACCCATCCTCACGCCTCTCCTTGCCTCAATCTAGCCCCAGACACATGGTTTGAGCTAGCTCAGTGTTCAGGCAACTCCAAAGGGGAGCTCAGATTCATTTAAGACAGCCTGCTGCTTCTAATGTACTAACTTAGTCGTGAAAAAGAGACGACTCCCCACTCCCGAGCTTTTTATTTTGAAGATTATAGACGCCACAAAGTTTGAAAAACTACAATGAATGACCCTATACCTTTCATCTCTGTTCAGCTATTGTTTATACTGCTTTCACCTTTGCTTTATCTCTTCCTAGGAATAGACGTTTTTTATCCATTGAAGCATTTGAAAATAAGTTGAATATTGAATTTTTTAATTGACATCTCACTTAAAATAATCCAGCATACATCTTCAAAGAATAACGACATTCAACATAACTATAATACCATTTCAGACTTGGGAAAATTAACAATGATTTAATATCTTTAGGTTCATATTAAAATTTCTACAATTGTCTAAATACCTTATATACACGTTTTCCTTTTGTCCCAAAGATCAATCTTTGTCCCCCCTTTCTCTCTTGTCTTTCTTTCTTTCTCTTGCTTGATTGCTTTCTCTTTTTGACAAGGTCTCATGTAGCCCAGGCTGACCGTGAACCCCCTGTGTAGCCAAGGATGACCTAGACCTCGTGATCCTCCTACTTACACCTCCTGAGTGCTTTGCCATGATCCCTGGTTTATGTCCTGCTGGGGATGGAAGCCAGGACTTTGTACACATTAGGCAAGCACTCTACCAAATGAGCTAGATCCCCCAGCCCCTGGTCTAAGATCTTAACATTACATTTGATTCTTTTTCTCTAGTCCAGTGTCCCAAGATGGACAGTTATCAATATCCACAGATATTTTTGATTATGGGGTGCTTCTGGCATTGCATTGATTCATTTTCTGTTGAAATAACAGGATACATGAGGTTGGATACTTTACAATGAAGTCTATTTGATTTGTAGTTTTGGAGGCTGGAAGTCCATGATTAATTAGGTGATCATATCTATTTGGTCAACTACTAAGTGAGGGCTTCAGCTTGTTTAAAAGTTGGATCTTTAGACATGGTTATTCCAACACTGTCACCCATTAAGTCAGGGCTCTTGTTTCCTCCCTGGAGAGGTTGCATGATTGCTCCCCAGGGAAAAGACACATCATCATTCCTACAGCAGAGTCATAGTGAATGCTGTTATCTGCTCAGAATTCTGCTTTACATATATTTGTCACAGCAACTCTGTGCATAAAGAGTAGGGGCTACATATTAGGAAGGAGAAACCAGAGACTTAAAAGGAGATACTAGGAAAACCATAGCCTTTGGAAATCAGTGGTCAAAATCTGTATCATCTATTTGGTTCTGGATCTGGGGCCTCTGTAGACTTCATTTACTTATCTGTACCATGCTGAAGATGAGCAACTGGCCTCGTAGGTTGAACATAGCTGCCCACCTGACCTATAGTAGATGTTATTAGGTCAGTATATCTCCCGACGATAGGTTAAAACTCCTGGGTCATGACGGATAATTCATGGTGCCACAGAGTCCACGAGCAGTTAATCAGTCAATCAAAGCCATTAATTCAGATAATTTAACCTACACTTCAGTTGAAGTTTAACTTTAGAGATATTTAGGGAATGAAGAGTTTGCTGATCAATCCCTTGAGTAATATTGTAGGAGGGTGATTATGACCATTTAACTTCTGGGAACGTGTCAGGGAAGACTTTAGTTCCTCACAGGCCTATCAGGAAGCGCAAGCAGACTCCAACTTTGTTCACCGCAAAACAGTGCGATCATTCCGTCCACAAATAACAAAGAAATACATTCTAAGAGAGTGCAGAGAACCAGTCTCATCCTTACGAAACTATCACAGATGACTATCACACCTCACATGGCTGCTATGTCACTAAACCTTATAGTCCTGTGGGTCACTGTTACACATGCATTCAATTTCAAATATAATTTGTGTGTGTGTAAGAGAGAGAGAATATGTGTGTGCGTGTACGTGTGTGTGTGTGTGTGTGTGTGTGTGTGTGTGTGGTATTCAGAGGACAGACTCCATGTGTGCAGGTATCTGTGGAGGCCAGAGGGCATCAGATCTTCTGGAGTCAGAGTTTCAGGCAAGTGTGGATTGCCTGTCATTTGTGCTGGGAACTGAACATAGGTCCTATGCAAGAGCATGCTCTTAACCACGAAGCTATCTTGCCTGCCCCTAATTCATTTAACTTTTAACCCAAATCTCACTAGGAGACACATGATGGTATTAAAGACCACTTTGTTTCATGAAATGTTCTAGGCACCTGGGGTACATCAGAGATGAAAAATAAATGTTCTTTTACTCTATTTGGGATATATGGATGAAAAATCCACAAATTTGTAAATTACATTAAAAAGTAAGTGCTAATGACAAAAATTTAAAGTAGGGATAGATAGGTCATTGTAATTTTAAATTAGGACTGGCAGTCACTTAAAAGGCAACATTGGGCATGGTGTGGTGGTATGTGTCTTTAATCTCAGCACTTGGAAGGCAGAAGCAGGTGGATCTTTGTGAGTTCAATGTCAGCCTGGTCTACATATCGAATGCCATGTCAGCCAGCACTATAGAGTGAGATCCTGTCTATAAATGGCTGGGCAGAATGATACTGGAACAAAATTTTAGATGATGTTTAATAATTAGCATTTGCTCTCACTTTTTAAAGTTTTAGGGCTTGAAAGGAAGCTCAGTGCTTAAGACCATATACTGCTCTTGCAGAAGATCCAGGTTGGGTCCCTACCACCCATGTCAAGGTTTCACAACTGCCTGTAACTCCAGAGAATGGGGCCCCTCTTCTGGCCTCTGTGGACAGCTGCAGGCCCATGGTGTACATACCTGCTCAGGCACACACTGAAGCCATTTTAGAACCTCTAAAGTCTCACAAGGACGTTTTCCTTATGTGTCTATCTCTGAAAGCATCCAAGCGCCTTCCCAAGGGAAGGCAGAAAGAGCAGATGCCTGTTTCAGGTATGTCCTGTCTGTATACCAATGGGGATGGATTAGCAAGCTGCTTTCTTAGGGCCTAAGGTGTCCCCTGAAGGGAGCTGCCAGACTTAGTGGGACTCTGTGACCAGGGAGGCACTTGCCCTTGAAGATGATTGAAGGACTCAAGCTAGAAACCTCATGGAATTCAGTAGACACTTAGGAACAGCACAGGAGAGTTTGTCTGGGGAAGAGACAGGCCGGGCGTTGGTGGCACACGCCTTTAATCCCAGCACTTGGGAGGCAGAGACAGGCAGATCTCTGTGAGTTCAAGGCCAGCCTGGTCTACAGAACGAGTGCCAGGATAGGCTCCAAAGCTACACAGAGAAACCCTGTCTCAAAAAAAAAAAAAAAAAAGAAAAAAAAGAAAAAGAAAAAAGAAAAGAAAGAAAGATAGCATCTACTGTATATGGACCATAGGCGAATGTCTGGTTTATTTAGTAGCTACTGTGTACTGAGCATAGGCAAATGTTCCCCAGCATGTGCTGACCATTATGATCATCAACATGTAAAGGGCAAGGAAACTAAGGCTCAAAGAGGGTGAGTAAACTTACCCACTGCACACACAGAGTGACTTAAGCACAGCTCTGCCTGGCTCCAGAGCCCATGTTCCTACCTCATTAGTCAATGCTGTCTAGGATTAATCAGATATGGACTATAAATCGCTATTGTTTCTGGAGCCCACAAAAGACTGTCTCCCTGGAGTGGTTCCAGTTCTGAGTTTCCAAGTGCCTGTTGAACATAACCAAATTTTCTACCCCCTCCTCCTCTCCCAGGGTATCTATCAGGCATGTCTCAGGTGCTTGCCAGAGCCCCTTTCTATTATATCCCAAACTTGCAATTGTCCGTTCTGTCTCATGCCTGCCTGGGACTTGCTCTGCTTGTAGCCCATACAATCCTGCAACCCAGAGCTGCTTCCCCTCCTGCCCGGCCCCTGTCACACTGAGCAATCAGGCCCAGCAGGTACTGGTGCAGGTCTCTAGCATCTCTGTGCTCCTCAAACAAGGTTAAAGGCTGCACAGCAGTGCTGGTTGGAGCTCGCCAAGAAGCTAACAGTGGGAATAGGTGACCAGTGTGTGAGAGAAGTGAGGTGGGATGAACTTGGATCACTGGGAAACAGGCAAGGGGAAGGCCCCCAAGAAGATGGCTTCCTTGTCTTCCCTCCTCCCAAGAGCTTACCTGAGCATAGTTTCACCCTCCAGCACAGTGATAGTCTGCAAAGCCACTCGAGCAGGCATACAGTCTTTCTGTGGATTGCACAAGCACCCTCTGGCAGAACGCCTTGTCTTCTTGCTTCCCTTTTCCTCGCACACTCTCTGCCCCGGGATTGCATCTCCTAAATAAAACATTGGCATGATGTTTTAGTTTGAGTTCTGTTTTTCTAGAAAACACGAACTAGATAAAATACGAAAGTTCAAGTTCTCGTCAGAGGATCACTGCTTCTTGCATTCTCTTGAGTGTGTTCCAAAATGCAATAGCTGATGATGTCTTTCACACAACATGTAAAGATAAAAATAAATCTCTAAAACTCATACTGCCATTATCAGGACACCTAGTGGCATTTGTGTATTTCCCTTAAAAATGTGCAGTTTGTTTGAAAAGAAAAGGAAAACTATTGAAAGAGTCCTTCCTTGGTGCAAAAAAAAAAAAAAAAAAAAAAAAAAATTCAAAGCCAGGAACTCCTAAGCCATCTCCCTCTTGCATGCCTATTTCCTGATGGTCTCACAGAAACCTTTCCCTTGCCCGAGTCTGGGCCCCCATTATTCTCTTTTAGACTATTAAGGTTGCTTTTTAATTTATCTTTGTTTGCACGTTGCCTATTGCCATCAAGTAAGTAGTCCTAAGACTGATTTTATCTTGTTCTACCATGTTCAAAATCCTTTAGTAACTCTCATTGTTCAGAAAATGATGCCCAGAGATCCTTCTAAAGCCACACTCTGGTAACTCTGCATCCATAGCAGAGCCTGGTGCCCAAAGTCCTCTGTCAACCATTGACCACGCCTGTTAGACCCCTTTAAGGAACAGGGCATGAAATATACTAGAGGAAATCACCTGTTGTGAGGAGAAGTCACACAGTACCTGGAAGACGGTAGCTTCAGTCAGGTGGCAACAGACACCACTGGGTAATACAAGCTGAGGGGTAGAAAAAAAAATAGAAAGTACCATGAAGCAAGGCCACCAGAGGCAAGAGTCACAACAGCAAGGCATTCGTAGGGTACAGAAACAGTACTTCACTATGGAAGGGCCCACAGGGATGACTGCGTTAATGCCCACTGGTCATTGCTTCAACATAGCTGGCGGTACCCCAAGTCCAGCTTGTTCTAGAAATGAAAATGTTGCCTTTTGAGATTTCTATCAGCCCAGATCATGGCAGGAACCTGAAGATATAATCAACTGAGACTGAAAAGAAGGTGGTTAGGACATAGGCATGACATAGGCACGAGAGCTGTGGGCAGTTAGGATGCCAGGCGCTCACGGACTAGCAGCGGTGGAACCCAGGGCCGAAGAGAAGAGGCAAGGGAAGCCCCACAAAACAGGAACTATGGAGGAACATGGTTTCGCTGAGAACATCAAAAGCACCCTGCTACAGAAAGAAGAGAGAACCCTCAGTGTCTTCTTCCTACTCTCTGATACTTGTTAAAGTCTCCCCTTAGAAAGCCCAATGGTTACCAGAGGGCAATGGAACCCCCAGGGAACACAGCACAGGATTAACAAATTATCTATCCGATACAGCTCAGGGCAGAGAGTAGTATGGCAGCTCCCTTTTCCCTCCGTAAATGTCCACAGCCTAACCTCCAGAACCCAGGGGAACTTACTACATTCTATGACAAAAAAATGAGATTGCAGTCAAGGGTCACGAGAGAAGAGACTTATCCCACATTTCTGGGTGGGTCCTCAATGCAGCCACACACATTCTTACAAGGCAGTATCAGGGGAATAGTTCTACAGTCGAGGAGGAGGCAATGAGACCACAGAAACAGATTGGAGAGGAGTGGCCAGTAGCCAAAGAAAGCCTGAGGCTATCAGTAACTGGAAGAAGCAAGAGACAGATTACCTCCCCTCCCGTCCCCTCAAGCCTCAAGAGATGCTGACCCTGCCCAAACCTTCATTTCAGACTTCTGGCCTCTAGAACTGTGAGAAAATAAACTTCTGTTGTTTTAAGTCAACCAGTTTGTACTAATTTGTTACAGCAGTCGCAGGAAACCAGCAGAGGCCAAATAGCACAGACTCAATTCATCTCAAATGGCACACTGATGTCCACAACCCTGTTGGCTGGACACCCTTTTACCTACCTTTATATACTGTTTGGAATTTCTGCTAGGACCCTCCCCATGCCTCATATCATAGGCTCCCAAATCACAGTTGCTTCCACGTGCAAATTTCTTTTAATTCAAATAAGAGTATGACCTTCTTTACAGCGAGAACCTGTCTCTCGTACCTTGGGAACCCACAAAACTCCTCACACATTTCTTTGAGCAGAGTAATTGGTAAATGAGAAAGAGAGCTTCCATTTGCACATCTGTAAATGGAAAATAACAACCACTAACTTGCCTCTCAGAGGCAATGATGGCAGTATTTCCTGAAATCAACTCCTGTCCCTGTAACAGAAATGAGATATCTGAAACACTCATTCCTACTAGAACAATTCCTTAGGAAAAAAAATTTACAATTCATTTTAGTGAGCCCTCTATTCCACACCGAACTAAATAACACTGCCAGCAGTTCACCCCAAGGAAGAAGAGGCCAGCAATTAACAAACAGAAACAGGCTGGAGTATGGTTCGATGGTGGAATATTTGCCTAGTGTGTTTGAGGCCCTGGTATTCTACCTGCCCCTTGGCACTGGAAAAAAAAATAAACAGCAAACAAAAAAACTTGAGACTGAAATACAAGCGCCAAGGAACCATGACTCATATAATAAACATTTATTAAAGAACTATGATGCCAAAATACAGTCTATAGATGCTGAGGAAATGCAATAAGGCACAATCGAAAGGAAACAATTATCACAAAATAGAGGAATCCTTGTGTGTGTGAGTGTGTATGCAGAGGGATGTCAGAGTCATCCTCAATCACTTTTCAATGTGTGTGTGTGTGTGTGTGTGTGTGTGTGTGTGAGAGAGAGAGAGAGAGAGAGAGAGAGCGAGAGCGCTACAGACATCTTCCTCTCTCCCCTTCTATAGTGCTGGGATTATGTGTGCACACCACCAGGCCCAGCTTTCTACATGGGTCACTGGAGATCCAAACTCAGGTCCTCATGTTTGTGCAGCAAGCCCTTCACTGACTGAGCCACCGCCGCCCGCCCCCTAGCCCTAATGAATGCTTTTTATAGGAGCGCTTGCTAAGGGATCAGAAAGAAGGGAATGATTAACTCGAGAGACGGGAGTCTCACTCTCAAGGAGCCGCTTTCAAGCTGGTTATTTAGGATTTCATCAGGCAGAGCCAAAGTCTGGAGCATTCCAAGACCAAAAGAAACAACTGCCTGTGCTGTTGCCAAGCAAACCACACCCTGTTCAGTCCTATTGTATCCGCAAAGGCCTATTTCTGTTCATTGTCCTCATAGCCACTTTTTAAGACAAAAAGAGAATGTGGGCTAAGCCCCTTCTTTGAAATCAGGTATTTTATAGGTCGAAGAAAAGAGACTGTGAGGAGGGATTGTGGAGGTTGGCTTCTGGTGAGTCCAGAATTCAAGAAGAAATGGAAGCTCTTCCCTGTTTCCTGAAAACTGAACTGAGGCTCCCCCAGTGTGTTGCAGCGGCTCCTTCTGAGCTCAGTCAGGAGAAAGCAAGAGGGAATGAGAACACCCCAACCATAGGCACTGCTTTGTGACAAGCACGCCTTAACCAGGAACAAGGGCCCTACTTCCTCCCTTCGGCTGACCTTCAGATCCTTCTAGGAGAGCAGGCACCACCCAGCCTCCCTCCCAGACAAGTCCTGCTAAGCCTCTGAGACCAGAGCTTGCTGCTTGTGAGTGGGAGGAAAAAACCTCTTGGGAAAGCAGCCAGGACAGAGGAAAGGAAGGCCAGCAGACACCTACCCAGGGGCACATGGGTCCCCATCCTCACCATGGAGCATCCATGGGAAAGCAGGTAAGTGGGAGGCTAGCATCCCAACCTCCCGCTCCGCAGCCTTCATCTTTGTTTTCCCAGGAAGCTTCTACCTTGCAGACCCTGCCAGAAGGCCCACGGCATTTTCACAAAGCAGTAACAACAAGGACAGAGCGTTCTAGCCTGCCGGAGCCTGCTGGCTGGTCACTCTTTCCACTGACTTTTGTTTTCATGCATCATTCCTCTAACTTGCTTCTCAGATTCCTCTGGGCTTTGAAAAAGCCACACAGTGACACCACCCAGTGGGCTGGCAGGCATCTCTGACATGCACCCTGCCCTAAGCATTGACTCATATCTGGAGTTTTCAGAAAGGGACCACCTCCTACCAGTGTAGTTGGCAAAGGTAGGGCTTTAAGTACCACCCTGTGGACTGGTAAATCACATCCTTCTGTCTTATTCAAATGCATTTTCAGTTCCAGGCATGGTGGTGCACACCTGTAATTCTTTCTAGCTCTTGAACAGCTGAGGCAGGAGGATGGCAATTTCTACACCACATTTCAAAACTTAAAAAAAAAAAAAAAAAACTGAAAGGGGGAAAACAAAGAAAAATATATCTGCAAGGTTTGTTGAGCACACTTTGTTTCTTTCTTTCTTTCTTTCTTTTTTTCTTTTTTCTCTGAGACAGGGTTTCTCTGTGGCTTTGGAAGCTGTCCTGGCACTCGCTCTTGTAGACCAGGCTGGTCTCGAACTCACAGAGACCCGCCTGCCTCTGCCTCCCGAGTGCTGGGATTAAAGGAATGAGCCACCACAGCCTGGCTTCACACTTTGTTTCTTAAATGATCCAAGCACAGCCAACACGGATGTGTCTAAGCAAACAGAGAAGTTTCACTGTGACCGTTTCAATGTGAAATGTCTCTCATGGTTCATGTGTTAACTTGAACTTGGTGCCAGCTGGTGGCACTGTTTTGTGAGGTTGTGGAGCTGTGTGTGTGTGGCAGGAGGTGTGTCACAATGTGAGTACTCTTCAAAAGGAACAACCAATCGCAATGCCAGGGTCCCCCTTCTATAGTAGACCCGGCAATGCCAGGGTCCCCTTCTATAGTAGACCACATTGCCTGGAACCCAGAAGCAACATGAAACTCTCCTCTCTTAGGCTGATGCTGTCAGGTGTGCTGTCCGAGGGATGTAAAAGTCACTGACACTCCTGTGTTGATGTGTTAGACTGCTGTACACATGCCTATTGGAGCAGAGAGAATCTCAGCTCCTCAAAAAATCATCCGTAGCGTTTTGAGCCATAATCTGAGAGTAAGACCCATGTAGATGCTTACTTCTAATACTTTAGAAATACTTTACATGTATTTATTTAGCGTGTGGGGGCCACTACACAGATGTGGAGGGCATGTAGAGGAAGTCGGTCCTCTCTTCTCACTGTGTAAGTCTGGGGCATCAAACTTAGGTCATTTTAGGCTTGGTGGCAATAGCTCCAGCACGATGTTGACTTTAAAAACTTAATGGTATTGGTTCTCAATGTGGATCAAGAGACTTTCTTGTAAATCACTGATGAGAGAAAAAATTGGTCGAGCTACTACACAGAGTAACCTCAAAAGCAACCTGGTAAAGTCAAAAGTGCCTATCCGTTTCCTGTCAATCACCACCCTAATTTACACCCCAAATTCCTACATGTGTCTCAGGAGACACAGACAAGGATGTGGGTTACATGAAAACCCCAAATCTCAAACAAAACAACAAAACTATTGACATAATGAATTTCTACTTACAGGAGACTAGCATGTAAAGTAGTTACATAACAGGATAATAGTATTTCAGTACTCCGTAGTATAATATTACCATGTTATGAAGAGCAGATTAGTTTTATTAGTGCCATATACATAAATCTCAAAGTCATTGTGGTGAGAAAAGGGCTGTAGGAAAATATTTATGCTACTGATATACATGCTTAACACTGTAAGCTAACGTTTTGTATATTTTAAAGTATCTTTAAGAAATTGGTTACCTCTGGAGAAAGTTGAGATGCAAAGGACGTTGAAAACTAGATACTGTCTTTAAAAACATTAAAAGGGCACTA